TGATGAAATTACCAGGTTAATGCTGGATCCTCAAAGACACAGATTTTCCTTAGAGATCTCTGTGTTGCTTGCTCCCAAACATATTGGGTAGCTAACTAAAGGAACACCTTGCTATTTTTGGATACTGTAGAGTACTATAGTTAGATGGCAAGTACTGCAAAAATCAGGCAGTGTTTGGAAGATCTCTTATGGACAAAGGTATATAACTTTTAATGTTTGTAATAACCTCAAAATAAGCTTTATTATTAGATTTTTTACAAAAGCATTGTAAATCTGTGTTTTTAAGTAAATAAAATGGAATAAAATTCCTTACAAGTACAAATATTAATAGTTAACAATTACATTTAACAATATTCTCCCTAGCAGCTTCACTGTATTAATTTGTACTGTTGAATATCTTTCATAACCTGAGATTGTCTTGTTGCCTTAAGTCACCATCTTTCCTGCATTTGCCATTGAAGACAGTTACAGAAGTTATCCAAACAGCTCCTTCTTTTCTAATCTATGACAGAATAATAATGCTCTCCTTTCTCACTATTCTTCTCTCCCATTCCTGCAACTGGGCAGTAAGGCATCACACAGCCATGCAGGGGATTAAATAGTAGATTCTTATGGGTTCTAGATCAGTATTTCTATTGTTCACCACTGTGAAGGCACCATTGTTTTCTCCATGTTCCAAGCATGAAGACGTACTGACGACATTTTATACAATAGAATGAAAAATATTACTCAAAAATACAAATTAATGACAGGCAAAATATTCTCCCACACTTTGTGAGACAGTCTGAAAACCGTGAGACTGAAAACTAACTGTGTACAAGGGAATGAAACCACACATCAGACTTCTACCATCTTCACCTCCCACATTATAAGCACTGTTCACTTTATGACTATCACTGTGAAGTTCCCATTTGGTGTTTCAGAAGTGAATGGAAAGGACTGACAAGAAGGTAAGCTGTAATCACAAAACGAATGTTTTCTTAAGAGAACAGATTTTAATTATCTTGTTCAAAGCTCATCAGATACTTACACTTAAAATTTCCCCTTTGAACTTTGCCATTTAAGCAGCTAACTGGCTCACTAAACTAAACTGACTTAATACAGAGGGTACAATACAAGAGTATAAGAGAGAAAACGCGAAATAGGTGCTTTGGGCACGGGTAAGAAAGGTGAAGAGCAGCAGGGACTGGAGAGGGACAGAGGTGGGCTCCCAACCAGAATGGCAACATCATTCCAAGCACAGCTGTTGAGGCTGCATTCCTGGGAGCCCCGGAGACCCACGCTAGTACACGGATACCAGAAGCAATTCTCACAAGAATGGGAATGGAAAACAAGCTTCCCAGCTGCTCTTGGAAGGAGGTAATGTACTCAGAGTACCCCCGCCCCCAACACACAGCTGGGCACAACACAGGGAACCAAGGCACAAAGGCATTCAACTCTCACATAAAAGTTCTTGCCCTTGGAAAAGAAACACAGTCCATAGCAACAGCAGTATTTTCAAAAGCCTCTCTTTCACACGCACCCTCCAAATCAATAGTCCTCATATTATCATTATACATAATTAAATCTAAATATCAAGTCCTTTTCATACCATCCAGGTGCATTCTATAAGTTGGACTAACTCCAGCTTTCTGGAGTGGCTTTAAATAATCATACTATTTTCATTATTTAGGCAAGTGACATTCTCTTCCAGGGGTCATCTTCATGCCAATTTATTTTAGAATGCTTTTACTTCGAAAGGGCTATTGTATTTCAAGCGGCTTTAACAGAGGAGTGAAAAGGGGGAAAAATAACAGTTCAGTCTCCTATCCAGAAATGCACAGGATCTCTAGCTTTCTCTCGGCTTTCAACCCCTTACTTTTCTTGTCTCAAAGCCACCAGGGTTTCACATCCCAGAGTACTCAAACACTCCCTTCCCAAGTCTTTCCCACCTTTCAACCCATGACAATGTTCTTTGACTTCTCACCTCTCCAGCTGTTCAGTAAATCCTCTCCCACATGTTTAGCTCTTCTATCTTCCCTCCTCCTGGTTCAAACCAAATCCTTGTCTGCCCAAATCAGCGCTGTCAAATAGCTTTGCCGGTATCTACTCTTCTGCAAATCACTTTCCAAACTGCCAGCCTGTCCTGTAATGCCTGCATTTCGTTCAGCTCCCCTGCCTCAAATCCACATCCATACCTAGTGGCTCAATGCCAGTTGTCCTAGTTCCAGGTCCCTCAACAACAAGCTCAGCCCTTGTTTGGCTCCTCCAGTTTTGCCCGTACAGGCACTTGCTACCATGGGATTATGTTTTTGTTGTAAGCTGGCACCTCCTCACCCTTCATTGTCATGGCAGCCTTATCTTCCCACAATACTAAAACCCTTGGTCCATCATCACAAGACAGGCTTTAAAAGCCACGCTGGGTCAGAAAAATAATCAGAATGACTCTTAGATGACAGGAGAGTAAAGTGCGTCCAGGAAAAAAAAAAAAAGCACACAAGTAGTAGCTGTATGCTTTAGCTGTGCTCCTTTGGACCTTGCAGTTATATCTGAACCTTCCAAAACATCAATGCTTCACGTATGATTAAAATAAGTCTCATCTTAGAAATTCCTATGTGCCATAGATTCAGTACTGAAGAATCAGACTGCCTTAAAATAAAAAGTGTCTTCAATTAAGTCATCCAAATTTTCACATGAATCAAGCTCCAAATTTCATCTCTCCAAAGGGATTACTGCAGAAAAATGGCCTGGAGAATCACAGTCTAGAGCAGGTGTCTCAAACTGAATGGACACAGGCTCAAGAAGGAAATTCACTGTCAGACAGAACTCCAGCTCTAAACTTCCTTTTGCCTTGTGAATCCCTTTCTATATGGATCTGTTTCATGATGACAGAAGACCACTAAGATGCAATCCAATCCCTGTTTCTATATTGCACTCCAGAAGCAAAGCCTGTACAAACACTGTGCAGCCAAATACAAAATATACCACGGTCACTCAGAAAGTCTACACTGACTGCTAGAGGCAGAGGCCTTTTTGTTTGCTTGTCACAAAGAAGGGAATTAGCACCTTTATTCTCCTTCTGTGCATTTCCCATCTCTTCTGCAGGAAAGCATCTTGGGAGAACACAGAAGCAAAAAGAAATGCAGACACATTTACTATGACCAACACGTTTCCAGAGCTACCACTGCCACAGCTGCTTTCCAAGCCCAGTGCACCTACCCTGGGTGACTCACTGGCGGCTAAAGAGGTTTCGGCCTCCACCATCTACTCTGGTAATTGTATCTCCTTTGTCACCCCACACAGCTGCACCCACAACCCTTCCCATGTACAGCTTCGTGAATTCCTCTCTGGATTCTCCCTTCTATACTTGCTAACATAATTAGCAGTAACTAGCTACAGTAGTAGTATGGAAGTTTAAAAATTATCTAATATATCAATGACAGTAAGAGAACAAGTTGAGTTCTCTAGACAGACCTAAGAAATTTCTGCAGTTGGAGCCACGTGTGAAATGAGTAGTTTTAGGGAGGAAGTCTATGAATCTATTTTTAAAAGTTCTTTTCTGAAAAGACTGGAATGAAATAGATGCATTTAAATTTCTTCACAAATATTTGTGTAGATATTAATTTTTATCCAACAAGGTAGTTTCCACCATGTATTTCTACCTTTCAACAAACTGGCATTTCCTGAACAAAAATGTTTCACTACAACATTTTTTCAACAGTTTTACTGACAAGGTTTAGCTTAAAAAAGCTGAATTTGATTTCATTAAGAGAACCAGACTGACAGCTCTGAAGACTTGGATAAGCAAACAAGCTTCTCTTGACTTTCCTCATGCACTTCAGGCTTTGAAAGATCAAATTCTCTAAGTGGGGTTTGGCGTGACGCAAGATCAGGCTTCAGCATCACTGGTGTATTCAGCTTTCACAATCTCTGTTGAGTTTATCAACAAGAAGATGCTTAGTTTTAGCAACTTATCCTTTAAAATTCAAGGCCTATCTACAAAGGCCAGGATGCCTGTGTTAGTTTTGGAGTTGCCCAGACAGAGTGAAAACCTTGAACTAGATGTAGAAGGGTCCAAAAATCTATTTAGCTTCCTAGAGTTACAAATGCACCCCATCTTTTGAAAAAAGACGTATTGCCAAACATCTTACCAGATATTCAAAATCCAAATATATATTTAAAAAAAAAAAAAAAAAAGAAGCAAGAAGAATCAAATAGCAGCAGCTATTGCAGCTACTAAATATGCCTTAGGTAACTTAGCAAAACACCACTGTTAAAACAATAGTTCCAAAATCAAAATATCAGAGCAAAGATATTTAAATTGTTTGTCCCTAGCAAGTAAACAAGGAAAAAATTAATTTCCAAGGCAAAGTGCCTATCCTGGAGAACCTCCAGTTGGCATCTTAATTAACTGAGACATGTCCAACTTGAACACCCTTGATAAACGCAGTAACAGTACATTATAAAAAAAAAAGACGGTGTGTGCAGCTGTTTAGGACATAACAACTTAAAAAAAAAAAGAAACTAAGTGGAATTGTACCAGAAGCTAATGTACATTTGATCTATACCACCTAACAAAAAGATTACCCCACGCTAGTAAGCTCTTCATTATGTCTTTGCACTGCCATTGGAATAGAGAATTTACATCAGCACCCATCCTGCAGACTCCCATTCCCAGCACTGTGATGACACACTGGAGGAATGAGGAAGCAAATTGCATGGATGTACAAGTTTAGGAAGGCTTGGGTTTACTGTTTACTAAGACTAAGCATGGATTTAGTCTTTTATAAAAATCTTGTTTGCCCACTCTCGTTTTCTTCTAGAAGAGGACTTTAGCAACGTTCGTGTCACCTCACAGAAAATCAAAATTCAAACATCAAATCAGAACAACAATATGACAGAATTTGCTTTTCACGAGATTCATTCCTTCCAGCACACGTCGGCCCAGCCCAGTGCTGACACAGATGCCTGTGACAGACTTTTCTGTCGTCATGGGGACTCTTGCTTTAAGGCTTACATACCTGCTGTGTGAGGAGACTGGTGTGGCTTGAGGAGGCACGCTGACAGGCTGCTTGTTTTTCTGTCAGCTGCTGCAGTTCTGCTGCTACCATGCTTGGGCTATAACGTTTGTCCTGAGAAGAAGGATCTTCCGCATCTTTGTGTATCCTGGCTGAGCCCCCGCGCTGCCCACTCGGGCTGTGATGGCACAAACCTACCAAAGAAACATTTGGATAAGCTTAGTGAGCAGTATGTCAGACTCTCTCAGCCTTCTCATCACAGAGATACAAAAGCAGGTATGATACTTTCTGCAGATTCTAGGGAGAATGCAGCCTTCTAATGGCACCCAATTTCTAAGAATATTGGCTGCTGTTATCTGTGTTAATTCTATAATGTTCTTCCTTAAAAACAAATGAATCCTTTTAAATAAGCTACTCAGTTGAGACGTCTGATTTATTTTAATGCTAGAAAAGCTGTCAATATATATACAGCAACCCTAGTGAACATGTGCTGATCCTTACATACCATCTAAGGCACTTGTAGAACATCACTGAAAAAAAAAAAAAAATTATCAGGACCACAGCTGTTAGCCTGTGTGTGGCTCCCCAAACCTTCCTAATATATTACAATCTGCATCCATGAATTCCTACAGTTTCTCCCACCCTTCAGATTCCTTACACTCTAAAGTTGGATTGCTCAACTATGTTCTACCCCAGTATGCTGAAAGGTCCTAGAGAATGAGATATAGTAATGATTCATTCAGATCTTTCTTTTTTTGGAGGTCTTGACACACTTTAAAGTATTCAACAATTAGTAGGTTTCATTAAAGGATTTCTCTGCGTGGTAGAGAAACACAGAACAACGAACAGCACATAGACTGAGACAGTATTTCTGCTAACCAAAACTACATTAAAGATAAACATGACATCAGTAATTTAGCCAGGCAAAAAGATACAATACTTTATTTCCCAAATCTTTTGAAACAATTTCAAAGGCTGAGTTCTAAGCACAAGGCTGAGGGAAAATCTTATCACTCTCTACAACTACCCAAAAGGAGGTTGCAGCAAGGTGAGGTTCGGTCTCTTCTCCCCGATAACAAGTGATAGGACAAGAGGAAACTACTTCAAGTGGCATCAGGGAAGGCTTAGAGTGGATATTTGGAAAAATTTCTTCACCGTAAGGGTTTTCAAGCATTGGAACATGCTGTCTAGGGAAGTGGTTGAGTCACCATCCCTAGAGGTTTTTAAAAGATGTGTAGTCATGGCACTTATGGACACGGTTTAGTGGACTTTTCTGTGTTAGGTTAACAGTTGGACTCAATGATCTTAAGGATCTTTTATAACCTAAATGATTCTATGATTCCCTGTTCATCTGTTCAAAAAAAGGGCTTATTGGGCAAACAAGGGCTGCCTCCCATGTTCTGTCTTTCCATGAAAAATTTAGCACTATTCAATAAGACTCAATTCTGGAAACGTAAAATTTCTTATCTACTCTAGAACAGAGATCACACAACCTTTATACTGAACCAGGAGGTTTTTACGCATCCCAGAACACTCACCTACTTTTGCAGAGGATGGTCGGGACAATCTTTGGCTGTAGATCTGAGCAGCTCTTTGAAAAGATGAGAATGGGCCAATGGTGTAGCTACCAGAGTGACAATGATGTAACCCTGCAAGGCTAGAAGCCACAGTGGACACTGCATTTGTGAAGACAGAAGAGCTGTCAGGAGCTGTGCTCTGCGAGGAGGATAGTGGGGATGAGGACTGAATCACCCTGGGACCAGCTGGAGGAGCCAGCAGTGAATGGTGACCAGACACCTGTGAATTTTCAGAGGCTGCAGGCGGAACCGGTATCCAGGAACTGGTACTTCTCTGGAATGTGGCACCAGAAACAGAGGAGGAAGCACTAGGAGGGCCACATCGAGGTAATTTCACTTCAGCATTTAAGGAGCATGTGGGTCCTTCTGGAACTACACAAAGATAACGAGCACAATACATGAGAAAAAGCTGCTTTTTGGGTCCTTTGGATAATATCAAGACATGAAAGATGCCTCTATTCACACACATTGAAGCCAAAATGATCTAATCTATACGCAAATACACGGTTCTACATGATGAATATCCTCTTTCATATCTAGGTCCTGCCACACAGAAGAGCAGGTAACTCTTTCATGCTGTTCACTCTAAAATATCTTCTCTCGGGTTTAAAAGAAAATGCTGCAGGATCCTCCCCAAAATTGGGCATTTGAGTACCTCAGTTTGAACCCAAAGGTTGCAACCTATGTTTAAAACAGTATTAAAACCAGTATATACATTCATTATTTTTTCTTTATGATAATTTAAGCCAGCTCACTTAGAGGTTGATTTAACTGGTTTAGGTTTCTTTTAATGCTCCTTCTGCAGGCAGATCTACAACTTTGGGGCAATAACTTTCATTTTTTTCACCACCGCAGGGTGTTCTATAACAAGATCAAGGAGGTTAGAATAATGCAAACTGTGATATCATTAGAACAGGACTGCAGAATTTAAACCTTGTTACAATGAACTTTCTTGCTAATATTTCCTGTAGACCACGCAACTCTTGATCATAACCATGCTGTCACATACAGTAGCCTGGACTACTGGGTATCTATGGCTGGCACTGCATATCCTTCCATGAAAAGCCTAATTAGGCTCATATACTGAGGCTCTGCCATCCAATGGCTTTACTCAGTGTGGGCAGCACAGTTTAACAGGCCTTGATCTCTCTCATCCCTTATTTGGATTTCAGTATTCTCTATTCATTTCAAATCTCAACGCCTTCAGTTTGCACATTCTCATCTCAGTCATAAGCCAACATATCTAGTGCCTTATAAATGCTAGTCCAGATTCATCCCATCTCACTTCAGGTGAAGAAGGCAGGAGGGCAGTTACTCTAGTCTTCACATACAGAGTCAGTTAAAAAAAGAAGACACACAACCTCAAGAAATCTGAGTAACATTCTGGAGGCTTTGTACTCTTTCCATAGACAGAAGTTGAACTGGATTTGTCTGGGCAACATCATCCCAGAACTGCCCGCAGAACTTACCCCCTTGACGCTGTTTCTCTGATTGGTTACTGGTGTTGCTGGGTTTTGTGCTTGTGGAGTTTGCTCCTAAGAAGACATTTGCTGACTTGTTTTTCTGTGTGTAAAACGTCAGCACTTCCTCCAGGTCACTTTCACTACATTAAGGAGAGAAGAATGGATGTAAGTAAGGACTCTAAGCTTTTCTGTGCTCATGTAACAATCAGAAAAGAAACAGTAAGACTGAAGAGGGAAGCGGGGAAAAAAGGTGACGCAAGACAAGCTAATGATTTGCTCAGTTCTGCAGGGTAAGATCAGAGGGAAAGGAATATGCCTTGGTTAAACAGATGCTGCTGAATCTTAGGTTTAACCTAAGATTTCCACTGAAATGCCACTTTCGTATCCAGTAGAAAACTGAAGGCATTTATAAGCCTTCCCTAGGACAAACACTCCAAGAGGAAATCTCTCCCTTTTGCTCGTCTCCAAACAACTAGCTCAGTGATTTAAGCTTCAAGCACAGTACAAAGCAGGATCAGGTATCAACAGTTTTCAAACACACCCAATACCAAAAGATTACCACTAGAAACTGTGTGATCATTGGCAAACTGGCTCTTGCTGTTCTTTCGTCACTCAGGTAAGATGGTCCAGTAAAAATCTCCAGATCCAGTCTAGACTTTGCATCAGGCCACGATGGCACGGTAATGAATAACAGGGGAACAGCATGCAGTTCTGCCCCAAAGAGCCATCTCTTAGTATTTCTGGCAATAAGCAAAATAACCTGCGCTAGGATGCAAGAGTCATTTTAGTGGCCAGAGATTTCAGACAACCAAGAGAATGCCATGGGCATATAATCTGCACTTCTAGTAACAGAAGTAGACGCTATGGTATTTGGTAGTCAGGCATCTTGAGTGTCATTCTTTTATAGAAGTCTGTCTGAAAAGCAGCGAGATTTTTCTTGGAGGCTGTAAATGTGTTGTGGTAATGCCTCTATTAGTTGTCAAGGGTTAGGGCTGGACTGGCCACTAAATGAATGACAAATGCGCTCAGACTCCCTCCCGAAACATGGCAGAAGGGGAGTAAGGCAGAGAGACTTATAGATTGGGAAAAAAACCCAACAAAATAACTATAACAGTTTCAATAAAACATTGTTTTCATGAGCAAAAGAGACTGTGATGCCTCCTAAACTTAGTTAAGAAGCCTCAGCTATCACCAACTTCTCATCAGTCACTAAGAGCACTATTCAAACAGAGAAAGAAGAATTTTGTAAGTGATCATAAAAAGAAGTGACTATCAACCTTCTGAGAAAATGCAGAACGGCATTAAAAAGGCAGGTGAACTCTGCCTGTTCAGATACTGACAGGAGTCCTTGCCTATATAGGCATGTCATATACAGGTCAAATAAAGGAGTCAAAAGGATTTGGGTTTGGTGCTCAAACATCAGAGATTTTGAGGACATTCTGGGTCACTGAATAATTTCAGACGTTTCCATAGTCAGATAGGTTTAATATCATTGGTTTTCAAAACTACGCTACAGGTCATAAGGAGTATTCACCTATTTTCAAAATGTTTCCTACCAGACTCTTGTAAGTTTAAGCCAGGAAAAGTTCAGAGCACACAAGGTTAGAAAAATGCTAGTTTTGCATTGTGAAAGCAACTGCTTGCACTCAAGTGCCTTAGCAAGCCAAATAAGAGGCTAGGATGAAGGTGGGAGTCTAACTCCCCTCCTTTCTCAGCTCAGAAAGTCCAGACTTGGAGAGCTTCTGAAGAGAGGCAGCAAGCATGAGATTTGTTTCTGAGAGCAGAAACTTGAGAGCCAGAGCCACAACAACTGTTCAACCACAGCAGCTCCAGGCCATCTTGAGCAGCAGCTCCAGTTTCATTCTCCTTCCAAGGAACTGCCACATTGGCTCCAGCAGCACAGGGAAGGAGACCATTAGCTCAGCAGCATCAGTTTGAAATTTACACAGACAGGGACAATCACTGCTGTCCTTTGGGAATCTACTTAATGGTCAAAACCTCTATTCTATGTCCTTCTCTGTGCACCAGGTACTGATGCCACAGGTGTTGCTGGAGGGGAGAAAAGAGGAAGTTCTCTGTCCTCCAGCAAGAGCAGGAGCAGGTGCTACAGGCAATAAAGACATCTAGAGGCCTTTAGACCAATCAGATCATCTTTAGGACAATTCCATCACCTTTAGGCCTGGGAGCTCCTTTATCAAAGGGAATAATATCCATTCCTACCTTGCTCTAGCAAGAAAGTTCTGAAAACCTTCAGGATTCACTCCCTCCTCCTCTTCTTCCTGTTTCTTTTTTGATCGCTTCTGAACTATCTGCTCCGTTTCCTGTTAATAAGCAGTATCAGTAAGTGTCTCCATGTGGTTACTTTATGCTCCACAGCATAGCTACAGCTCAGAAAAAAACAAAACGTGATTTCACGGGATCTAAGGAAAAAAGGCAACACCAAAGAGCCAAATTGTGAGTATTTCACTATGTGCAACAGAACAGATAAATACAGCATGCTGTCTCTGGGGCTCTCTAAGTGTACGGTGAACTCCCTGTTCCACCACCTGATATAACTTATTAGAATTGATTGCTGAGAAGAGGTCAAGTATTCACAAATACATGCTGCTCCTTCAAATATACTCTTTGCTGGGACATAACTACATATGGAGGGGAAAAAAATAAACTACTCTTTACAGATATTAAGCCCCCTTTCTGCTTTTGCTGTTTCGGTTACAATTACAGAGTTCCTCAAAAGAGTTTTTATTTGAGCATCTATCCCAAAAGGAGATATTCCGGAAGAAAGGAGTTAAAAAAAATAAAATTAAAGAAACCTCAATCAAGGAGGTCTGCTGAGGGGATCCACATTTCCTAATGTAAACTAGGAGTTCTCTACCTGAGTAAATTACTCTTGTTATGCAGCAAATTGCAGAGAGCTTATCTACATTCAAAAATAAACTGCTTTAGCAAAAGCAAAGTAAAACAGTACAGCCTGTGGCAAATACGCATTTTTACACTAAAATATGCTGGCATACAAGATGCTAAGCCTTTGTGTGTGAGAATGGGAGCAAGCTCTCAGATATAAATGATCTATTTCACACCAGTAGAACTTGTTGACACTAGAGGTTGCATTGATATAAACGTTTCTTGTTAATTAAAAAAAAAACACCAAAAAATCCCTCAAACCTATAGGCTTGTCTGAAATACCAATACCAGCATACAAGCTTTATCTCACCACACTTGAACTCCACTTCAACACTTCCTGCTGGCACTCTGAGCATTGCTAGGACAAAAGGGTCAAGATACATCTTTTCAAAGATAATTCAAGAGGTGAAAGGAAAAGCCACTCTGAGAGCCTTCACTACTTAAGTAAAAAAGACAGTATGCAATCTGTTTTACTTAGTTTGCTGGAGGTAGCATTTTTTAATTCTGTGTCATTACAGAAGACACATAATGGCTAGTAGGAGTCCCCTACTAAATCTAAAGTTACAAGTCAGTGAAAGAAGTCTATATGCTGGAATCAGACATCAAAAAGCCTCATAGCCAAACAGTCTCTCAATGGCTTAAACATGTACATCCTAAAACCTCAAGTGATCTGTTCTCACTTGTTTTAACCGAGAAAATATGTTTATGCACTGATTTATTACCAGTTACACTGCTTTATTTGTGAATTTACTCAAGAGTTAGCAGAAAATCCTGGTGCTTAAATACAGTTTGAGTGGAAATTATATCCAAAGCAGCTGCGTTCTTCACTCACCACAGAGCCACCCGAGTATTTTGTGGTTACTCTTAACACAATAATTCCATGAGCATTAGGCATATAAGGCGCTCCCTGGAACAGATTTGGTTCAATACCAACCTTGCTTTGACGGATCAAGTTACCAGATGTCAGTTCTGACAAGGCAATGCAAGCGAACATCCTCTGCTAATGAGTAGGAGCTTGGAGGCCCGTGTGCACAGCAGCCTCTGGAAGCAAGATTTAAACTACCCTTGTCCCACCACCAAAGGAATGCCAGGGGGCAAAGGAAAGGGGAAGCTGTTCTTGCAAAACAAGGATTAGCATGAAATAACTATGCTAAGAACAACATCTTCTACACCTAAAGAGGTGAAAATTATTTAAATTAGGACCTACTCCTTATCACTGAGCATGCAGAGTCCCATACTACAGATAGGCAGCAGTCCCTCAGTATACCAAACAAATGGTACAATACATATTTTATACTGTCCTGTATTAAAAAAAATCTCTAAAGAAGCATGATAAAAATAAGGAAAGATGGTTAGAGGCATTATAAAGAACTAGACCGGAAGACAAGTCAAAGAAAAAGCAAACTGCCAGTTAAATTCCACTTCAGCAGTTCTTTTTACTTTTACGCACACAATTACCAGACTGCATATATAATGCAGTAATATGGTTGTCTATTTAACAATTTGAACAGATAAACTGCCATTACTGGATATGAACTGCAAATAGACCATGGAAGTTAGAGAACAGAGCCTTTAAAGCAGCCTCCTGTCTTGACTATAACAGCAGCCCACAGGAGATACTTTAGAAGAGAAGAGAAACCAGAAGAGCTGCCAAAAAAAAAAAAAAAAAAAAATCAAGAAAGAATTACTCACCTTGTTATAGCAGATTATGAACTCGCCCAGCTGGTGAGCCAGGATACGACGCCGATCATTGAGCCCTAAACAACGGCTGGGGAGCAGCATCCTCAAGGACTGCTGAAGATTGCTGGCAGCTCGCCTCAGAAAGCGTACCACAAGCTCCTGCAAGCAAGACACACAGAGTTAACAGTGGACCAGCTGCAAGATGTGGGGAGAAGAGAACTACTACAGCAGCTAATGACTGGCAGGAATTAAACACATTGTCCTAAGAAAATGAGCTGACAACTGGCAGGCAAAAATTCTGCAATGTACATTTTTAATAGAGCCCTATAAATCTAAGGTTGGGGGAGAAGAATTATGGTGTGCCTTGCCTGAGATCAGTCACAACTGGAACATTTGAGAAGCATTTGTCTGAGAAACACAGCAGATGAAGAAAACAAACAAAAAAACCCAACAAGCAGCAGCACAAAGCAGCAACACAGCATAACCTGTAAGTCCAGCATCTTAGGAGAACATTTCCAAAAGACAACCTGTAATGTGTTAAAGAAGGCCTGAGATGAAACATACTGACACAAAACCCTCTCGGCCCTATCACAGGGTAGGGTATCTTGTTAGGTATCTCCTCTGCAGTGATGTAGCCTCATTTCATGACTTTTCATGTATGTAAACTATTGCCAAAGCCTCACCACAGCAACAGAGGACTAGATGTGCCACCGTATAATTCCAATCCCCCACCATGTCTGACCTCTGAATGGGGAAACACATGGCAAGGCAGATCCTAAGGCAAAATGAATCCTTTGGGTGTTCTGAATCATTTCTGTCTCCCCTCTGGATTTGCTTTTGGTTAGGAGCTCTGCTGATGCGTAAATGAGCAGCCTCACAGCCAAACTATAGGATTTCACAGCTTGCCTCTCACTGCCATTACTCCAGGCTGGTTTGATCTGTTATTTTAAACATTATTTTTCACAGTACAGCGGACAGAGCAACTCCCAAAAAGCCAGTTGTTATTTCCACTTGGAAAGAGCAGGGGCAACATTTTCCACTCAGTCGACTGATTACTCTTGACACACAATTTTATCTCTGAACTGCACTGTCTGTGTTCCCTGAAACACGCATTCAGCAATAATACTTCTGGATTTGCAGAACGCTCAAGAGTGTATTGTACAAAGCTCTTTTAGGAAGGCTTGTGAGGGTATCTGAGCTTGCTGCACTCCTTAAAATGTGTATATATCTATCTATCTCTATCTATCTATCTCTATCTCTATATATATATCTACCTCAAACATTGGGCCTTCAGATGTCACCACATTTTTTTTTTAAATTAAAAAAAACCACAAAACACACCACCTATGCTAGAAAGTAACTTTATCTCCTCAGCGGCTTTTACTTTTTCTTTCCTTTATTCAGAAGGGAAGGAAGATTCCTAAGCACAGATGCCTACTAAGAGTAGAACAATACATGAGGAAAAGCTTAACTAGGTATCTGTTCTGTTTGAGTAGATGTACACTTTGTTTAACACAGCAGAAACCAGATGCAGCCAAGTGGTCTTAAAGAATCTTAGAGGGGATGATTCAAAAGCAGGTAAGCTCAGATATCAATGAAGGAGAATGAGTGAAACATCTGAGCAGCTTGAATGTCAACCACACTCCAGCCTTTAAGAGCTGTCTACTGCTGCTCAGACATCAGTCAGCAGTCCTACCTTGTCTGTCCGTTAAAAATCCAGCACTGGCAGCTGGACAGATAGACAACTATAACCTCAGTCAGACTTCTGTTCTCCCAAGGGTGGGAACCGATCACAAAACTCTCACAGCAGATTTCAGCTTGGCTTCTCAGTCTGGCCAACACAAAGCTTCTTACCATTTGCTCATTCTCTTTGGCAGCCCAGGCAGGATTCTGGATCTGGTCACCAGCCTCCTTCATCAGTCGCAACTGAACGTGTTGTAGGTAGGCGGAGAAAGCCCTGCGAGCTTGGACTTTGCTGTGGACCAAAAGAATCAGGCAGCTATCTTCAGAGAAGTAATGGGAATAGGTATTAGAGCAGTCAGGTACACCTTATGGACCAAAGTACAGGCAGCAAGGACCTCCAAAATGCACGAATGTTGAAGCTCATGGGAACCTGGACCCCTTCATCCCACCAGTATTTGCAAGGAGATCTCCAATTCACCACAACAGGGTAGGTATTGCAGGAGATACAGAAGACAGTAGACACTGAGTTCTAAGAGCATATCTGAAAATGGAAGTTCTCCTTACTTTTTTATCACCTTAGCTACTCTCTTCTAAAAGCCAATAACACAAACATCAGCAAAACTGTGTATTTTTAAACCAAATTCAGGGCTCTCTTAGGCCTCTGTCTTCACAAGCATTTTGAACACTACAACAACAGACCATAAAATACATAAAGGGCTTGGTACTGGTGCCAGAGTTATAACAAAGGCCCTGCAATTTCCATTGGAAATTAAAGAACTAAATCTGTGAAAGTGAGCTCTTCCCCTGCTGGCCCAAGGACACAAGCCAAATTTCATTGAGCAAGGCATCAGTGAAGAATGAACATCAGCAAAATCTGCTGTGCAGCTGGCTGAACATGTTGGAAAACCATGAGCATGCACTAAGAAGACTGGGGTAGGACTGGCAGGGACGCATTGCTTCTCATTCCCTCACAATGGTAGTCACTTCAGCGTATGCATCTGCTGCGAGAGAAACTGCTGAAAGCTTTGCCTAATTCTGTTCATTGTCATCTTGGCCTAAACCCTCTCCTCCAACATTCTGCTTTCCCAGCCTCCACTCTTCCTCATAGCTTTCCCCAGAGTTGCTACAAGCTGTCCCTTCAACTGCCAAGCATGATTTCTCCTCTCCTTTCCATGCAGAAGCAGATGGACTTTCATGTCAGTGACAGAAATCCCTTCTGTCACAGGCAACGCCTCAATATTTTCTATAAAAATATGAAAATTCATCTGAAAACAAACTAAAAGTTTTCAACTCCTTCTGGAATATTATTCCAGAACTTACTGTTTTAATAATGAGGAACCTTCTTTCACTACCCAGCCTAGCTTCATTCATAAGCAGTTTATGTTCGCTTTTTCTTTCTTTTTACAGCATTGCCCTGTATCTTCAATAATTTAATCCCTGGTGGGTCTCCTACCGTGAATGTATTAATTAAGGGCAATGACATCCTTTCATTTTCTTAATTTTATTAGTGTGAACTACCCACACCTTTCAGTGTGTTCTCCCAAAGCACCCACACTGGTGACAGAGGACCAGCAGCTCACTTCCACTTGTTCCAGTCACAATTTACCTTCCATGAACCTGGGTGACAGCAACTGCATATTCCACATGAAGTCTAAAGCATCTCTCTGAAGTCTCACTACAAGTATCTAGTGATAAACCCTAGACCACATTTGTTTTCATGCATGCACGAGTTCCAGCTTCACAAACCTCCTGTGATCAACAAGTATACAAGGTATTTTCCCCTATAATTAATTTCCAGTTGATGAACACCCAGTTGATATAATTTCTGCCATAAATTATTAGTTCTTAAAAGCATGCCCCTGCACTTTGTGCTACTGAATTTCATCCTAGCTATATTATTCACATCCTCAGGGTCATCCAGGTCTTTCCATATTTATTCCATTACTTTTCTCTCATGGTAATAACTCCCAAATCAGCAAATTCTATTAGCTTTTTTCTACGTTTTGTGTCATTCTTGAGTTGATTATCAAAATCAGCTTCAGATTGATTCCTGTGGAACCTCACCATTTTTTCCCTACTCGTTCTCTGATATTTATATGGTCCCCATGACTCCATGCGCACGAGTGCCTGAAATCTTATTAAAAACTTCAGTTTAGAGATCCAGTCTTCCTGTTTCATGTCTGTAAGTTTCATCAACACTTTGTTACAGTGTTACACAGAAACCATACAACATAGTAGCACTTAGAGAGATCAATGCATCAATTTAGATAAGAACTGAAATTAAAATAAAATACATTAAAGTATCCATGCATCTGCTTAATCAGTAGCTTTTGACACTTATAGAAGACCATGCCAAGACCCCAAAGAGGGTCTAAGCAAACGACAAGTTCACAAGAGTCTCAGATCAACATCCTCTGCAGACAGCTGTATCAGAACTGCAGTAACTATAAAAATGTTTGGTTATAACTCCTGTCTTCCAGTGAACTCCAGAATACACAGCAGGCCTTGTAACACCTCCAAACTCTGTATGCTGCTGCTTACCACACCAACCTTCTCTTCCCACACGTGTGGGACATCAGGAGACCACTCTGAACCCTGCCTAAGAACTAACACTCTATACATCCGGCCACCATATATCAGAAAAGGCTCTCCCCTGAGGGCTCTCTAGGACTGCCAGGCTGGCTTTAGGTGTAACTCAAACATCTTGTGACCAGAGTTCCAGATTTATGCTCGCAGAAATTAAGGACTTCCCACTATCAAAATCAGTACAGCAATACAGTTCTTTGCCTGTGCCTGATACTTTCTGTGATTACAAAACAGGAAACTGAAGGAGGTCTTCAAATAACACTGCCTCTCCTCCGGTGTGTGGAACATTGAAACTTGAGGCTTCAATGCAGGAACGTTGCCTCCCTTTTCTTTTTACTTCCCTGGGAATGGCACAATTAGGGAAAACATTTCGACTGTCACCTCTTCATTAGTAACACACAATGTGTAGAAAGCTGAGAAATAGCCTCCTCAGGCTAACTGAAGGAGAAAAAGAAGCCCTACTGCTTACAAAAACTGACTGGAAATGCCTGGTTTCTTTTGGATGAAAATCTCATTACCCCAGCCCCTCTGTCTCTTGACCCCATAAGCAAAGCTTTCATCAATGACAGATCAGATGGGGCAAAGTCCAGCACAATCCTGGAACATGAGGTCACCACAAGCCTTACACACTTCTGTGGGGAATCCCAACAGCACCGGGTGCTGAGCAAGATTCTGCCAGGAACACCTGACACAGCTTACGTTCTTGGCAGGAATCAGTTCTACGTATAGGTAAATGACAGCATCACTGTGGTCATCCTCAGAACAGGTTTCAGAATCTTCCCTGTTCTGACAGCAAATGTCCTTGCCACAAGAAGACATCAAAATAATCCCCAAAGTCATTTGATAATTCATAAATCCTCTCAGAAACTAAACTAAGAAAACAACAACAAGCATAAATAATTTTATCTACCTGTGGACTTTTTTCACAGAAAACATAATTGCTGCTTCTTACCTAGAAGATGTAAATTTCTCCTATACATGATCATTCTTCTTTTTTGCCCTTCCTGACCATGTGGAAATGGATAGTTTTGCTACTTAAATGTAAGAGGAGGATCATGCTTCTAAACATCTGGTAGGACCCTGGTTAGTGTTATTCTACAGAATCTCCTTCAGCACTTGTCTTTTTTTTCAAGCCACAGAACCATACATCAGAACATACTCTGCTCCACACTGTGATACTCAGTATCAGGTAAGAAGATGTTTGAGTAACTTATTCTCAAATAATCTCCTATATCTTGCTCTCAGGATGTGACAACCTTGAGCACAGATTATTATTAGAGGTAGAAATTCCGTCACCCAAAATAAAGCACAAAAACATGAAAATTAATCTTATAGAGAGGCAGCAGTGCAGTATGACTGCCCAACCTTTCTTGGACAGTTCAACATGCATTTATACCGATTTCTTTGGAAATGCAAAGAATGGCAGTAAGAACTTTAGAATTCAGTAGCAAGCATTCTGCATTATCTGAGGTCTGAGATGATCAAGGAACAGTTTACATCACGAGATTAAAGAACAGCAACGGAAACCATGGCTTATGATCTATACTGACCCAACAGGTCAGGCATTTAGGTAAAACTGTCAGTCTTTGCAACTATCTCCCTTCCATGCCAATTAGCTGTTAGGGCAGCCCACTGTTAGGCCAAAATCCAGGCCCCGTTCTCTAGGACCCTCTTATCTCCTCACACTCATTCATGACATGGCACCAAGTGTACATCCTCCTTATTTCAACCAGTATCAGCTGCCAGTCAAAACTCAGGGCAACATGCAGAAATCTCTCACCTGAGGTTTCCATGCTTTTGAAGAACCTGCAGCAAGTTAAACTGAGATTCTGAGTCTGGCTTTGGAAGAAATAGCTCTCCTCCATCTTCAGCTTTCTTCTCAGGTTGTTTTGGCAACTTCTCCTTACAAGTAGTTTTCACAAAGTCAGAGAGCATTGGCTTGCTTTTCACTTGGGTGTTCGGAAGAGAGACGGTTTTATCTAGCTCTTCATCTAACTCTTCCTCCTCCTCACCTTCTGTGTCTGACTTGAGGGACTGCTTTGCTGGTTCTGACATCCCTGTAGCAGAGAAGAAATCACCTATGTCAGTTAAGAAAAAAGGAGTGGGGCAGACTGTCCTGCTATTTATACTCTTTGGTTTACTTCTAAACTCTTTCCTGCCAGGACAGAATAGCACTGTTTTAGAACAGCATCTAAAGTATCATTGCCCTTTATTCTTCTTTCTGTCTTTCTGCTTGTGAATCAAACAGTTGAGAAGCCTCTTTCCCCAATATCAGAGAAGACCAATCAAGATTCTTGTCTTCACAAATGAAAAAAAATTAATCAAAGAAACAAAGGCATTTTCTTATATTTTATCCTGATTCTCACTTATATACTCCCATATATATACACTCATACTTGACATGCATATTAGTTCTTTGTATTTTTGTGTGTCAGAAAAACCAAAACTTCCATGTGTGTCAGTAAAGATGATATACCTTAACAGAGAACCAAAAATCATTTTATAACATACAATCTCTCCCATTGCAGTCAGTATCACATAGCTACTAGAAAGAGCTTAGATAATGGCTTCAGGAACAGCCACTTGTGAGGATCATTCACCTTTGTACCCTTTTAAGTTTCTCCACACATCCACTTGGATAAAAAGGACTTATCTCCTTCTAATAGCTTGGAGTCAACTACTGTGTAGAAGAACCAGCCTGGAAGGTCCCCAGTTTTCACATCTCTCTGAAAAGCTGGAGGGCTCCAGAGGCACCCATACGGTTGAACTCTTGTAACCAAAATGCAGCTGCATGCTCACGTTGAAGAAAATATTGATTGCCTTTAGTCTTATACATGAGGGTGTGGAATGGTGCAAATGAAATTGTAGGAACTCAGGCGGCAGGAAGGTCAGAAGAGAAATGAAAACCATTAACACTTGAAATGAAAACTGTTATCTTCAACCTGTGAATCACTTTAGGGACTACAAAAGCAAGAACAAAGCCATTCACACACATTTCAAATTAAAAAGTCCTTGTTGGCTAGTTCTTGACTAGCTGCTTATCTAAGACTCTAGCCATGCATACCTGATGATCTTGTGCGTGCTGCTCTAGCCTTGCCATGACATCGGCGGCGCTTTCGTAATTCCAGTGAAACAAGCTTTCTTTCATAAAAAGGAGCATGAGAATCTACAGCTTCTGTTTTCATATCCAGCTTTTCATTAAGACCTGCTCTGGGAAGCATAATGCAGAAACATCCTCAATCTCCCTTTATACTTTCCTCCCCAATGATACAAGATTAAATTTCTTCAAGAAACAGTTTTCCTGATACAGGGAAGAAATATTTATGACCAGTCTAACTTCACTCTATTTAAAGCCTGAGAATGTTTGAGGGTAGTCTTGCAAAGACTTTACAGAACATTATCTCTCAAAGTCCCGAAACACTTATCTAGCATCAGGACTTCATGACTGAGCAGCATCTGTCTATCATACAGCAGCTCAAGGCACAATTAATAGTGAAAACTGGATTGTAAGAGTATAAAGCAATGGAGGGCAGTGGGAAGAGGGCACACGGACCTGAGTCCAGGCTTCTGAACCTTTTATGTAGACAGTTTGTTCTTCACTGCTTGGTCAGAAGTAAGAATTTTAACATCTTCTAAGTGAAAAAGTACAACCTTTCTGCAAGTTTTGCCTAAAGCAATGGGGAAAGGAGTCTGGCCTGATTCTTTAAAGGAGACAAGCATAACAACTTTATTCCAGTGCACAAAGATCCAAAGTGCTCTTTATAAGAGGAGAACATCCACAGAAAATTCCAGTTGTTCCATTTATCTTTTAGATCTAGTCAAGTGAATATACGAGAACATGAAGTCCAAAAGTCTCATTCACTACAGGATTTTCAGAGGGAGTTCAATGACAAGGCTTATTAATTGGAATGCCAAAGTAGCAGACCCAAGAGGAGCAATTTTAGGGCCCAATCCATCAAAACTTAAGCTCTCCACATGCTGGGGTACTCTCCACTCACTGCATTTATTTTTCTAAAATTAGCTTGACGGATTTCAGGTAGAACAAGTGTTGACCCAGGACCTGGAAGATGAAGCTGTGGAAATCTAAAATTAGAATAAATTCTACAAAATTATTTAATTTAAAAGGCATTTACCGGGACCTCCCTGCGATGAAGTCTCTTTTCATCCTGCCCCTACAAAGAGAAAAAAAAGTGAAAATTACCTTTCATTCTAGATCATTAACTGGATTAAAATGCCTCCAAAGTCTTTTCATGTGGTGAAAAAGTCAGATCTATAGAATTCCTTGTGAGTTCTATATTAAAAGAGGAAAAAAAAGCTCCAAAAGAGGAAATCTGAGCAGCTGTTCTACAACTGATGCTTGCATCTTTCTGGCTTAAACTGGAGGTGTCATTGGAGCTACCCTCCAGACACATCCCCGAAAGTACACATGAAAAAAAAAAAAAAAGTACAGTGCTGACGCAGGAAAAGCATCTGTAAATATTGCCTCCTCAGTCAGCAGTGTTATCCTTACTCTGTAGTCACTCTGCGATAGATCTCAGGTTTGGAGAAGGAAGAGTGTTAAATGCACAGTGAAGATATCTCATATCGCTCTCAATGGAAGTTCAGCCAGAGCCTTGAACTACCATTCCCACCCAAGCACAACCCAGAGAAGAGGCATCAAATAATGCTGCTCTGGTCAAGAGACCGGGATACTAAACCTTTGGAATAAATTTCAGTGCTTACTTTACATGAGGACAAGCTCTACTTTGACTCTGAATTTCAAACAAAAGGTAAACAAGGACCCTTCACTGGGAAACCTTCACAGAGAAACCAAGGTACTAGAAGGTTTTCCATGTCTACAGTCATCTTTTAATTCCAATGACTCCCACGCCTTTTGCACTTTGTCCTTTATGCTCTTGGATTTAGAAGCACAACGTGTTAAAATGTGAGAAATCCCCACAGTTACTGGCACACTAGAGAAGAGATGTGCACCTACTGTAACTAAGACTGGTGTTTGGAACACTGAATAAGTGATGAATCAATCCTTTTCACGCTCTTTGTGCCACTGCCTCCCTCCCAAATAGAAAAGCTTTCTACCTGTCCTGAAACAGACGTGTAGCCAGCATGTAGTTCATTGACGTCTTGTGCTCTAAAAAGGATCTGAAAAACCAAAAGACGGGATATATCAAGACAGAGCTCAACACAGTGAAAGGCAGCGTAATACAGAAATGAATGATCTATAAAAACATCCGACAAGTGGACTGAGACAATATTCTGTACAATAACAGAAAAGAGGAAAAGAGGAGAGCTATCCCTTCTCAGCTGTGAGGCAAGAGACAGAGAAACACTACAGACTGGGGGAAAAAGAATAACCATAAAAGCATAATACAGTATCCCTCCCAGAATGAGTCCCATTTGGCCAAATGACAGAGTATATGCAGCTCTAGGATGTAAAAGGAGATAGCAAGAATAGATTATCTGAAGTGAGGCATTTTTACTATGATGGAAAAGCAACATCAGAAATAATGTTTTATAACCTCCCATGAGATGCAGCTGGCCAAAGCAGCAGCAGTTAAAAACAAGGAATCAGATAAAAACTATGTCCTCAACACTAAAATGAACTCTACTAAGCCACTCAATATGTGTTTTCCTGATTGCTGAGCTGGTTGATCTATATATACCCAACACAGAATACCTGTCTACACAGAGCACCAAGGCAACACTGAGCCAACCTATTGGATTCTTATTCTCACCCATAAAGGTCCCATGTTAATGGCGTAGGGAATATCCGGATGAAGCCTCCTCTCCGTTCGTTCTCCTCTCTCACACGACGAAGAACTTTTATCTTGGAATAAAAAAGGAAAAAAAAATAGCCCACAAAAGAGACAGAATGAAAAACGAACACTAGAGAAACCTCTGAGTTTCAGAGGATGAGGCTATTAATGCAGTCCTGGGAGTGGGCTGGGTACATGTGATATCCTTAAGCAATTTTATCTTGCATTTAAATTCTGAAGGAGTCTATCAATGCATGAATGTATGCCTGGCATGACTGAGGGCAAGGGCAGTATCAGCAGAAAAATTCAGCAGATCTGTTTCCAAACCTATACTTATTCAGTCATGGTTTTTATTTGCTGAGCAAATAACCCCATATATTGCATGAAAGCCAAGGTAAATAAAAGACATTTAATAGTCTACTTACCTCCTCCATGGAGAGGCCTAGCACAGAGCTGCCTTTTTTTTTTTCCCTGCCTGAGGACATCGGGTTTTTAGTTTCAGCATCACTGGCAGACAGAGGACGGGTGCGCTGTAAAAACAGTGTGAATCTACATTTCTCCTGTTTCCCCTTTCAACTTACTTCAAAAAAGTTACATTCAAACTCCAGGACCTCATTTCCAGCAGAATCTACACTCCAGAGAACTACAGCCAGAACTGACAATTCCATACTCCAGCTGTCGAAGAGTCTCCACTCCAGCCAGTACTAAGTGTGACTATTCACAATCCCAGTTTCTAGCGCAGCAAGACTCACAGCTTAGGCATTGGTACCAGTATTTACATCCCTGGCCCCTTCTGGAGAAACTGAGGTACACCCAAAAGCACCAAACCAGGATTTCCTATGGAAAAATCCTCACCCAAGGGGCATTAGAGCTAGCGTTCACATGCAGAGGCCCCAGACTCACTTGGATTTACATGTTAGTGGCACCAGAACCATGATTCATTGTTTCAGTTGTGCTGCTACACTAGAAGGACAGAATTGTAACTCATTTATGAGACAAAGTTATAGGAAAAAAGAGAAAAATTCAGTTCACCAGCTCTTATTCTTTTGTTACTATACTGCTGGATCTCAACTTGCTACTTCTTTCACGTAACGGACAGATCTTGTATATGTACACAGATACATCATGCAAACTTGCACACACATGCAATTTTAAAAAATAAGAAATTATTTGCACACAGTCTCTCTAAGCTGCTTCTTAACCTGATGGGCAGACCTGATTAATTCTAATAAGGGCAGGAATTCAAAGTGTCTTTGAACATGCTCTCAGGAAAATTTTAGATTGTCTTACACCCAGTTTAGATAAACTACATCTGTAAAAATAGCATTTAAAAAGTCCAGCTGAGAAAGTCTTATGCCTTTATACAAAAGTCAAATTTTCTTTTAGAAAAGAATGCACAGAGAGCCTTCTTAATCTAGAAAGAACAGAAAAACATGACAGAAACCTTAAACTGGATAAGCCCAGAGGAATATCCCAGATTGCTCAAATATGAAGAAAACTCATGGCAAGATCAGGTAGTATCCTATTTGTAAGGACTACTGGAATTGAATTCCATTTTCTCTGCTTCATTAGAAATTGCAAGCGGCTATTCAGAATCTGCAGATGAAGCAATTGCAAAAGCAACAGGCATTGCACTAGAATGGGTTACACTGCAGTGATTGGCACAGAAAGATCCAAAGAGAAAGCAGACACAGCAGGTGCCAGCTGAAACATTTTGTTAAGCCTGATGAAAAATGATTAAATAAATCAAGATAAAACGTGACAATCTGGATGAGAAAGTAGGAGACACAAGCATTTGCAGAAGAAATAAAAATGTCAGTAGTTAAAGAGGTTCGCTTGATACTGTGGACGGCATTGAGTTGAAAGGCTTTTAGTCTTTTTTTCCTAAGCTTTCCCCAATTTCAAAAGCACAGCTCAACAACTTTGCTTAATAACTTCCTCTAAAACCTCCTGCTAGGTAATCTCCTCTTAGAAACCATTTCCTGACATTACTAAAACAATCATCATGTGAGAACTGCTGCTCAAAGAGAGTATTACAGCCAATTTTTCATACTTTCAGACAATATCCTTTACTAAGGAAGTGCTTCAATTAAATCATCTCCTTTGTATCGAGACAAACAGGCAATAAATGTCTACATATGGCTCCTACAACTAGTGACACTTTGGCTCCTACCTGGGAACAAAATGCTAGAGAATAATTTTACTGAACTTATTGCACAAACAACATTTTTCAGTGGTTCACTGCAGAGTTCCCTCTGGCTGTAGGACAGAAAAATCTCCAACTTCACAATGATCTTGTTTCCCCTTTGACCCAGCTTATCTTTAAAAGTATAGATAAATCCAACTGCTTTATTTTATCTGCAAATTCTGCAAGCATCTCTGGTTCCCATATCATGATTCTAATTATACTAAGCACTGAGAGCAGTTGGCACAAAGATCTTCCTATTCTCTATACAACCTCATTATTCAATAAGTCTCTTTTCCCTTAGCCTTGGCTAAACTTACACAGAATGACCAAAACAGCAGCATATAGAATAAATTAGGTTCTCAAGATGATTCCATTTGTCTTACCTTTCTTCCTGCTGGGAAACCTCAAAAAAACCCAAGAATCATCACTATTACATTCATGCAGGAAGCCCAGCAGCAAAATAATGCCTACCGTGTCCCCAGGCAGCCAGGTGCTTAGAGTTGTAAACCTACATTAATTTGTCCATATGGCTTGGAAGGAGGGTGCCAAATATGACATTTCAAGAGGTGCATCATCCGACTTACACTAACAATAATTCTTCATTTTTCTATTACCTTTAAGAAATCCTTCTTATCTCTCAATCTATTTTGACTCAGTTCATTACCAATTTTTTACAGTCTCCTTCAGATGACTGTCTCAAATAATTAATTCTCTTACAGGGCCACCTGAATTTTGTTGATATAGATTCACCTCTTCATTTAGACTTATTCCATCCCCTATAGTAGAGAAGACAACAATTCCTCCTCCTTCTCCCTTTTGCTGTGACACTCCTATTTGTTGCAGCTTTCACCAGCTCTCCCTTTGGTTTTGCACTTTCCTTTTCAACAACCAACTAAATCCAGAACAGTGTGCTGCCACTGTCCTTATCATCTGATGACGTGACAACTTTATCTTGAAACACCTATATTCCATTTCT